AAAAAAAGAATTCGAGTAATTAAAGTAAATTTAGAACTTCGAAAGTACCTTAATTAAATTAGAATCGATCGAATTCATTTCTATCTCACTTTGGAACAGATGGAAATTGTAACTGAATTGAAAATTAAAAAAAGAAGTCCAAGAGAATTCAATCAAGAGCTCGATCGATCACTTCTCGAATATCACTCCTTGTTCAATATTTAATTATCTTGGAAAAGAGAATTTATTTCCAGGAAGACGAATGGAACAAATGAAAAATTAACCGATCTAATTCGAGATTAAATCGATCGATTAATTTAATTTCTTTGGCAATTTTATCCTTCCTTTGGACAAGATCCGACGAGAAAAATAAATAATCGAACCAAGATCGAAATTTGTTCGCGAGTTTCTCCCTCTTTCAAAAACTATTCAAACCGTGTCTTCATACGAACAGAGATATCTCGCTTGTACGTTTCGTATCACTTACTTTTTAAGTTTAGGCGATTTAGAGACTTTAGAGTAGCGCCGAACGACTGGACTGTCTGAAACCATTCTGAATTTCATTCGCTCGAGGGAGCTAAAAATCGTGGATAAAGAGACAAAGGGAGAGAAAACTGATAGGCAAATTTTTTTTTTTTTCCATAATTCTCTTCGAGAAATCGTCGAGTCGAGAAACTTTCGAGCGAAAACACAGAGAAAATTCGAAAGTTTTATGAAGAAGCCGCGTTCACACTCGATGCTTTCTTTTCAATTAAAATGTTAAGGATTATTTTTAAAATAAAATATCGCGTATAATTAAAATTTAAGGCTTGTGTATTTTAACGTTGAAGCTTTGTTAGAGGAGTAGAAGACGTTTTAGAAGATATATAGTTACACTCCCAACTATACGTTGTACACATCGAACAAAATATCAGTTGCAACAGAGATATCAATTCACCTTACGTTCAATAAAATTATTAACCGGATAATTATAATAACTAAGCAATGAGCTGCTCGACGATAATTTCAACAGTGACGAAAAAGGATTATCATTTACGAATAATTCCTCTTACATCATATCGATACCATTGAATAAATTAAAAAGTATATCGATCCTACAATCCTCAACTCACGAACGATATATTCATTAATAATTTTCTTCTTTCATTTATTCATTTATATTCAATTCGCTTAGCGTGAACGCGGCTTAAGACGGAATAATGAAACCTCGTTGCGTTTTTGTCCAATCAAAAAAAAAAAAAAATAAAATAAAAAAAAATAAAAAAGAAAAAAGGAAGAAAAAAAAAAGAAATCGGTTTACGAAAATGACAATGGACTAATGTCGAGCGGGGGTAGACTGGCTTGTTGATCGCGTATAGTTCAATTTATCTTATTATCCTAGTCGTTAGCGTAGCGATCTTTCGAGGATCGACGAAAAGCTTGAAGTTGAAGTTGAAGTTGAAAAAGTTTAAGCCAAGAAGAAGAGGAATTTTGAATAGCATTAATATCGACTTCGAGACGATTCGAATCTCGTCTTTGAATGAAACGATGTTCGTGTTATTAAAAATTTATGGCGACGATGGTGGAATTTGAATCGCGTCATAAAGCGTGCGACGGTTTAAGAAGTGGGTCCATCAAAAGAATATATACCGGGTGGCTCGTTTCGATAGATAGAGAAATTTTTATTTATATTTTTTTTTTTTGGTTCGGTTATTATTTAACTCAAGGCAAGAGACGTGTTAATTTCGAAGAAGAACTTCGAATGATAATTTTGACGATAATATTGTAATAAATATTAGAAAGTTAAGTTCCGTGCAGTAATCTTTATTTATTTAATTTATGTTGCGCATCGATCGTTCCGAGTATATATTCTGATTCGAAATGGATTGCCCTGTAAAATATCCGCTGTAAAAGTTAGCTGTGCTGCTTTTGATTTCGATACATCGCGTCGAATTGAGATATCGAGGTCACGTTCTAATAAGATGGTCAATATGAAATAGTAAAAACTCGAGGAAACGTTGGCCGGAGCATAATTCGCTTCGCTTAATTTGATCAATTTGGTTAATTTCTCTTCTTCAAAATTTAAAATTCAGAGATTTTACAACACAAAAATTTTTAGGACACGAAAATTCTAATTCTACACAAGCCTACAAATTTTCCAATTCCAAAAAAATTGAAAATTCGTGAAGTCAAGGATCGGGCAAAATTTAAAACTCGACCAATTTCGTTTAAAATCAAAGATTCGGAAAGAAACTCGAAAATTTGTAGATTTGAAAACTATAAAATTCTAAAATTGAAACGTTCTATTAAAAAATTTCTCTGTACCAGTTCTTGGACTCATATTCGCTTTTTTTATCGAGGATGGACCGAAATCGAAGGTAAATCAACAACAGCAATTGCACCAAGCATTCGTGATCGCGACGTCGATTGTAAAAAAAAAAAAAAAGAAAAAAATTAAAAAGAAAGGCAAAGAAAAAAAATAAATAGTATATTACATAAATATAGAAAAAAGAAAAAGAAAACAAAAAAAAAAAAATAGTCGTCGCAAGCGTTATGAAAAAAAGCGTGAAAAGCGTATTGTTTTTTCGACGATCGAGTACGAGAGTGTGCGTGAGGATAAAAGAGAGAGAGAGGAAGGAAGAGCATAAAGGAGGATGAGAGTGAGAGACTTATTAGAAAAAGCTTAGTGCTAATTATAATATATATTTGCAAATTAAATAGAATCGGGGTATGTATTCGTATACTCTGACACGCCTTCGAAATTCGAGGAGCAATACAATCGAGCCACTTTTACAGTCAACGACTCGAATTATTATCATTATGATTAATTCCCGTCATTATTATCGCCATTATTGATTATCACGAGTTATTATTATCATTATTAATTATTACGAGTGAATTATTATTATTATTACAATTCCTGTTATCGCATACACCGATCATTGTAGCGCGGCACTCTATCAGAGGATCACAAGGAGGAAACATACAGAAACGAGGAGACAGAAATAAAGAAAAAAATAAATAAATAAAAAATGAAAATTTCGTTTATTATCGATCGACAGTGATCTGTTTAAGCGTATCGATTGCAAAAGTTTGGGGTATGAAGTCGTTAAGGCCGAGCTTGTTGTGCTCGCGTTGAAATCTCTGTTCAAATCACCAACAAGGTAGGTAAACATTTATACAGATACGAGAAATGGAAGTATAAAATTTTTTCTTTTTTTTTTCTTTTCGCGAAATTGTATTTTTAATTCTAAGAATTCGAATTTGATTTAGAAGAAAAAAAAAAAAAAAAGAAATCAGATTTTTTTAGATGAACGAAATATATAAATTTATAATGAAAAGTATTTAAATGCACGAATACTATTTGAATATTATTACGGAAGAGAAAGTTTTTCACGATTCTTTAATTTTCCCTATTTTTTATAACGCAAAATAAAATCTGAACTGTGAATTTTTTACTTCTTGCTGTAATTCGATTCGAAATTAAATTAGGATAATAAAATAAAATTGATATAATTATACGACACGGTATCACGTTCACTGTTTATTTTACTATCGAAGTACCTATTTCAACGTTGCTCTTCTTTCACGAGCGCGCGCCTGCCTTCTAAGTGGACCAAAGAAATCGTTTTATTGGCCAGAGAAGTGGGTTACCGGCACGGGTCTTCGCAAAGTGCACGATTAATTAATTATAGAAAAAAAAAAAAGAAAGAAAAAAAGCGAACGCGTGTTATAATTAATATGCGTACAAAGTATCGCGCGTTCACTGATAATCTTTATGAATTTTAAGCTGTTTGATGGATAAACTTTGCATCTTGAGCGCGTATTACATGCGCCAGATTACGATACACGGTATAGAGAACACTTTCTTTCATGTATTTTTCATGACATTCTTTCAAGTTTTGAAGACAGCTCACTTTAAAAGTAAGCATGAGAGAAAGAATTTCGATAAAGTTGTTTACCTTATCTCGATGTTCCAGATATCTCTATCAAACGACAATGTACGTTTTTCCCGCCTCGAGAAATCTTTAACATATTTTCCGCCCACGGAATAATTTAATAATTATTCCTTTCGTTTCTTTCAAATTTAAGAAACTTCCCTTACGAACGAGATCGCACGATTTTTTTTTTTTTTTTCTAAATTTACTATATTACAATTATCTCGAATCGATTAAATTTTCAACTTACACGAAGATGATATGATTTAGAAGAAGCGAGATAAAAATTAAAATCGTAAAACAACGTTCGCAACATAATCGTACGATTAATCTATCATCGCGAAACCTTCTCTAACGCAACAAAAATTCCACATTCGGTTTAAGGAATCCCCGGTTGCACAATCTTTGCACAATCCTCCGTGCCGAACCGCGCATAATCGAGAAAATACCGAGTACAATCCCGACTCCATAAATCTCGCGTTTCCTCTTTTAAAACTAAAACACCCTTGCGAAATTCTTCCTGTTTCCGCCAATCTCTGATCCATCTAGATCGCTCCTCATCGCTCCTCTCCTCCGCAACGTGATCGCGATTCGAACGTGACATCGTTCGAGAATGTCGAAAGAGAACGGAATTTCCTCGTTTTATGCAAATTTACATCGATTTTTTATTAAACTAAAAGATATTTCATCGGGCATAAATTGTTGCAAATGTATTTATGAGAGTATTTCAACGTATCGAGACGTTGAAACGTACTTTTTTATTGGTCTAATGGGGATATTTATTTTTATTACTATCGTAAAGTTGTTGCAATAAAATATAAAATTTGTGTAAGGATATTGTGTAACGAATGATACATCGGATTTTATTACCCTAATGCAATTTTTATTTTTGTTATTGTGTTGCGATATAAAACTTATATAACTTGTTTAACTATATTAACTATATTTCTTTTTTTTTTCAAAAAGAATACTGAACTATTTCTAATTAATCTGTTCTAGAATTAGAAGGCAAAGAAACGGATCTCTGATTTATCGAGATCGAAAGAAAGAGCAATAATTAAAATATTTTAGAATTATATTTTTCTTTTACAAAAAAGAAAAGAAAAATTTTTATTGTTTATTGTTTATGTTCAACAAATTTCAGAATCGTTGTGTAAAAACATCCACTCACTTTTGAATCAGCCTGTACACCGATACTCTACCTTCAAGATTCACTAGAATATCAAGGCGAATAAGAAAGTATTCAAAGTAACAAATTACAGTGCAACACACTTCTCTCCGGCTGAGATCGAATCCACGAGGAAGAGCCACGATCCATGTCTCCTCCGCGGACAATCGATTCATCTGGTCGCTTGATCTCCCTCTCCTCTTGAAAGGAAGAGAGTTAATCGAAACGGAACGTCGCTTTCCCGACGATTTCGCCGAATTTATTCCCGATATCGCACGAACACCGGCCATCGATTATCCTCGGTAATAATCGAAGCAGAGGCACGAAAAACACGTGGATTGCGTGCGCTTTGATCGATTATGATTTTCGCAACGTGTTTCGTTTTTCTTCCGCGTAAAAAGTCGAGGAACAAAGGTAACGATTTTAATGAACGTTTCGAAATGAAATGAAAATTGATTGATTGATTGATTGATTGATTGATTGGTGAAAAATGGAAGTAAAATTTTGTGGAATTTTTTTTTTTTTTTACAGTTTCGAAAGGATCAGAAGCATTGATTTTGATGATAAAATATGGAGGCTGATTTTTCTTTTCAAGGAATTAAAGATATTAGGATGTTGTGAAAAATTTGAAATTTTTCATTCTGGTGAAAGTGTATGATTTTCTTTTGAAGTTGAAAATTACATTTATAATAATTCGAAACGGCCTCCATAATGAATAATTTCTTAATATGGATTCAAAAGTGTAGAAAATAAATCGCGAAATTGATCGTTTTGATAAAGAGAGTGTAAATTGATAGAAGATCTTCCAACGTCTTTCTCCAATCTGAGCGAAATCTCGAGAGCAACCAGGATGTTATAGACGATCGTGACAAATGATATGTACAAGTAGTTTCAAAAGAGATATAAAAATAGTATAATCGTGTATACATACTTCATTCAATATTATTTGCATTACTTAACTTTGATAAAAATATCTTAAATAATGATTAAATAAAAAAATAGAAAAGCAATCGTCATATTTTAAAGGAACTAAATTTGTGCCCTATAAGATCAATCTTTTTTAAATTAAGTCATCACATTTAAATAATACATATTATATATCATACATATAATATTTATAAATATAGGAAAGATATATAATCAAGAAACTGATTTCGTATGCAGAAATAAATTGGGGAGAAACATAAGAAAATAAACTATCGAGGGGATGGATTTTTAAAATTCATCCAATATACAGTTGATCAAGCTTTATAATAAATCTTTTAGGGGAAGGAAAATTGCGATACCACGCTTTCTGAGATTAAAGTAATTTTTTATTTCTCTATTATGCTTTTATTTTTTTAAGCAAACATTTTTTGCTCCGTTAGTCGAATATTTTTCAGCCCGACTGTTTACAGGCTGAAAAAATCTGAATTCTAATTAGGGGTTGAAGGGCTCTTACCGGAACTTTGGGGTCCGGTCAAACATTTGTATTGCAATATGCAGGTATGAGGATGAAGCTAACTGAATTTTGAATTTAATATCCAGGATTTTTATATATTTATGAGAAAAAAATTGCGAGTGATTAGAAGTTTTGATTTTAAATAAATATTAATAACAAATTGTTAATAAATTTTTTTCTATTTACAAAAAATTAGAAAATTTTTAATTATATAGAGTTATTAAGAATTAATTCATTTTAAATTGCTCATAAGAGTTTCAGAGCTAGATAAATGTTTATACTGTAATTAAATTATAGCATAAAATCATATTAATAAAAATTTATTGATTGCATTCTAAATAGAATAAATAAAAATTAAGAAATAAAATTCCTAGAAGATAGTAAATTAAAAACAATACTATATTTTGATTAAATATTTCATAATAACAATAATAAACTGATGTTACGACATAAAGGAAATTATCTATAATTAGAGAAGTGAAAGAGAACTATTCTAATGTTAATTAAAGGCTGTTCTAACATCTAATTTGAAACAAACGATAATGTTTTCCTACTGAAGCTAAACAGAATGTATAATGCACTAGTTCCTTATGTATTGCATTACAAACGATTGAAATCATAAATCAAAGATCTCTTATAATCAATTGCATTACAATGACCAGCGAAAGTTTGCAACGATTATTCGATTATATATTATATATATTATATAACATAGTAATTATATATTATCGATAATATAAAACAATTTTTATCCATTATACATTATAAATGTATATTAAGATTGTTTCAACGGGAAAAAAAATGCAATAAATAAGTACTTACATCTGCCATTGTTGCAATAAATTAAACATAACCATGCTGCATGAAGACTCATCTCATTCGCCATTAATCATCGTAGCGTCAAAAATGCATAACACTCATTCCTTCAAATAGATTAATGATCTGTACATAATGAAATTAAAGATTTAAATTAAATACACGAAACTGAAATCAAATGTAATAAAATGATATAGTAATATGAATCAAACTCTACCTTAAAAGCATAAATAACGCGAGATACCGGCAACTTCAACGGTCGAATAATCGATTAACGAATACAAGCAAAAAAAATTCACAATATCACTTAATTTTATCATAATAATTTCTTATGAAACAAACACACATTGAACAAAAACAAAATTAATAACAATTCAAACTATAAAACACAATAATAACAGAAATATTTATTACGTAATTGAGGTTATATATATATATCGAGCGGTATCACACGTCCTGCCACGATGATTTTCGGCAGCCGAATGACGTCGCGCGCAGCAGGTACGCTTCGAAGCTTTCTGATTGGCTGGCGCAGTACGGTCCCTTTTTCACCCAAACCGCGCCGAAAATTGAAATTTTCGTAAATCCTTTTTCGATTAACGAACCACAAAACATTCCAATCTTCGTGATCGGGTAAAATAATCGTTCTTTTACTGGATGGAACACGCAAGTATGGACACAAATAAATCATTTTCTGAAAAAATAAAGTATTCTAATTAATATTCTCACAAATAAAGATTACGTATATACATAGTAAATGCATAGTGTGCTTGAAAAATTTATTTATTTATTGTTATTTGACATAATTAGAAATAAAGTAGTAAAAATGATTAATGAATGAAATAATTAAGGATGATGCTTTTTTATCGTGAAATAAAATTATCCTATTCTTTTCGCATAAAAGAATTTACAAATTTATCTCTCTTTTCATCATATTGATATTCTACAATTGTATAACTATATAATACCACAAGATTAAATATGTGTCACAAGGAAGACTTTTCAGCACGTTATACGGATCGTGGAAGTGTAAAGGGTCAAATATCACTGTAATTATGATGCGATCTCGTTTCTCCGAATGGAAACAAAAGATAAAAGAATAATCTAGAATAGAATAAACAGTATTCATAAGCAGGATATAAGCATGGCAGTCATTCAGCTACTATCTTCACGGACGACTTAAGCGAAATGCGCGTGAACTACTTACATTCTAGCCGTGTATTCGCATTCCAAACTTTCTTAAGCAATTATGTCATAACCGGTGCCCCCCTTTTTCCCATCTCCATTCTCCATATGTCGCTCTAGTCTACGCTTCCTATTCCTCCACTCCTCTTTCTCACTCTTCACGATACAAAGTTCCCAAAGAAACTTGTAAGTTCGCGGGCACCAAACTTTGATGTACACGATCGATTTGCGAAACAATTCGCGATATGGCTAGACGGTTGCGGTATATATATATAGGGTGTTTCGTAAATTTGAAGAAGAAAAATAAAATTAGAAGAATTTCTGTATATTTCTACGCGTAATAATTTTTAAAAATTATTGGAAGATAAAATTTTTACGTGGAAGTTTGGATCTGAAAATTTTGACTCTTCGAAAAACAAAATCGTAATTGAGAAATTATCGATTATTTTATAATCGATTAGAAGAATTCGTGATATAATAGTTGACTATATAAAGAATAGTGACAAAGAAATAGTCAATCGAAAAGAAAATTCGTGACGTTGTGAATGAACTATTTCAATGTACCGGGTGTCTTAAATCGGTTAATCGGAAAGAATATTTTTGAAATATTTTTTTAAACCTTTTAACAGATTATTGTTCACTCTCTTTTAATATTGAATTACAAAAGATATCGTAAAATTTTAATTTTCAAGCAAATTATTCCAGCGGAGAGATTAAAAAATTAATACCACTGAACATAAAAAGAAAAAAAAAAATACGGACAAAAAAAGCAATATTTTCGACCAAATATTAATCCAAACGGTTGAACATTTAGAACGTGCATAATTAATTTTCATCGAATCGAATCGTTTCATATTCGAAATTACACGGTGAACAAAATTGAACGGATATCGTGGAGCGGATAGTGAATTTCTTTGAATGCATGTAGGACGTTGCTTAGTGGCGTGTGCAATGCCCGATCAGGAAAGTATTCAAAGGTATTACGCGTGTTAAGTTTTGCTCCTTCGTGTGGAAAGACACATTTGGCACAAATTTAATTTCGAACGCCAATATCGAATATTGTTTCGCAATTGAATACGATCACCTCATTCTATCTCTGAACGTTTATTAATCGAGTGTATACATCGACGATCGATGATTATCGCTCGTAGATATTATTTAAAAAATAGATGAATAAATAAATTTCTCGAAAGAAAGAAATCGATGAGAACAATTCGTATTTTAATAAAACAGATCATAATCATGAAACTTTCTTTACGCTATATTGCCGAACAAATGTTTCGAGAGTGAAAAATGAAAATAACGATTTGCATAAAGTATAATAATTCAGTGAAAATGTACTAAGCTGCTGAATATTTATATTTATATTTATAATTATATATTTTATCTTGAAAAATATTTTGAAAAATTCTTCACGTTTCTCTATTTCACGTTCGATATTTTTCTTCTTCTTCTTCTTCTTCTTCTTTTTACGATAAAACGTCATGGGCGTTCCGAATTTAACGAAAGTTAGAACTTCGACCTTCATACTCGGACAAAAAAACATGGCTAATTACCACCTCACCGTATCACATGTCCACCCAGCGTGCAACTTTCGTTTTTCCAGCGAGCGAACGCTTCTCTTGCCACAACGACCTCAATGTAATTAACTCTGGAACGATAAATCACCTTCCCTCCTCCCCTTCCTTCATTCATGGAAAAATGAAAAATTGCAAATTTTCGTCCCTTGTGCCGTGTATCGGCACCAATCTGATAAATTCAATGAACAAATGAAACCGTGATCAAAATTTGGAGCTCGAAATACTCGAATGTATAATTGAAACGCGTAAATGATTCCTTCTTTTTTTTTTTTTATTAAATAGCTATAGCTAGTCGATTATTATCCAAAAAGAAGAATATCAGAGAGATTATTGCGAAAGAAGTATTATATGAATTATAGTTTCTTATTTAATAAATAAATTTTTCTATTTTTCAAAAAACGTATAAATAATTTAAACGAGAGTGAAACACATTTGTTAATTTTTAATTGCATATCTGAGTAAATCGTGGGTGAAATTAATTCGTATATTTTCATTATAATTCAATCCTTTTAAATTAATATATCATACCTTTTTCACATTTTCAAATTTTCATAATTTCATATTTTCAAATAAGTTATAAAACGAAATTAAATTCATATTATTCCAAAGTTTCCACGATTTAAAAAAATTACAAAATTACAAATTTGATTCAAAATTACATTTTCAAGAAGAGATTCGCTTCATTTTCGATTTTCCACATCCAGATCCAATAACATAAATTACATTTACGTTCGCAGGGATTAAGAGTTAAAATGGACGTGTGACATTCTTAATTATTCAACGAATCATTCGACCGTTACCCGCGATCAGGCTTAACTCGCCATTAATAACGTTATTTTCGTAATAGAAATCGTAATAATAAACCGCTCTTTTCCGGCAGATTGGTAATTATGTCAGCCCATCTCCACCAATCACCCGGTGGAACAGGAAGAAGGAGCTGTGACCGAGGGAATGGCAAAAACTGGAACCAGTTCGATAGGAAATTCATTTCTATCCCGGTTGTCGAACGGAATCTGACACTGAATACGAGAAATGGCAATCAGAAATTATTTTTCCACAGACGTACATTAATTAATGAACGCCAGAGGAATAATCGGAATTTCGTTTCGAAGGTAAAAAGATGTTGAAGTGAAACGAATGATTTCATATTAATTGATCATGCTAATTATTTATTTCCTCGGTAGGTATTAATAAATCAAACAGGATAAAGATTTTCTTTTTTTCATAAATATATAATTATCCACGTAATTTATTAAAAAGAAAATTTTAAAAAGGGAGCACAAAGGGTTAATTAAGAGAGAGGGAGAGAGAGAGAGAGAGAGACTCCTTA